ATTTGTTACATATTTATCGTTCTTGTAGACATCGAGTCCAAAGTGCGGAGACTTATCTGGATAGACGGGCTTCAACCACCCGGCCCCAATGCCAATGCCGTCACTAGCTTCATGGTTTCTGGATGGTACCTCCTTTCGGGGTTCGATTGATGGGATGCTGTCATGATTGCTTTCTGTAATAATTATTAGGATTTAGGAGTTAGAATGCATGAAACAAACTATGAAAAAACATAAAATAGAACAGGTACAACACAGTTCTGATACTCACAATTCAACACCAATTCATATTACAAGAGCTGGTCATATATTACATGTAGTTCAACATCAGAAAATATGATAGAGAATAAAATTTTCAATTTCTCGCAATCATGCTATCAGATATAACTCAAGTCCTATGGATGCTTACAGTCGTCTGAATTTCTCAAGTACGCCAAATACACAAGCACATATCCTCGAGCTATAAGCCTGAAACATGTGTTTTTTAATAAGTTCCACCCAAAAATAATGATCCTGGCAAACACTAAAATCACAAGGACAACACAATGGGATAACTTTTCCAGGAAAGTATGAAGTCCAAGTTCTGATGACAAATTTTTGCCAAAATCAGATTCAATGACTTCATTCCTAATTACTAGGATTTTAGCCTTTTATTCAAGAAAAAAAAAACAAAATACAAATGACTTTTGTTGAATGCAAATTAGTATAAGATTTCTCAACATGCAAGTATAATAGATTAGCGTACAGTCAAGTGTGTGTTTTTACCTGCAGATCAGTGTTATTAAATGGCGGCCATGACGGTATGGCGTGGCGGATTTTTGACAATCCGCCATGCAAAATTTGTGAATGATGGCGGTCATGGCGGCGTCATAGACCGCCAAGGCGGCCGCCATGGCGGAATTTTGGCAAAACGCTACCGCCTTCCGCCATTAATAACACTGCTGCAGATACAGATTCTTTAGCATTGTTCATATGCATACAAGAGAACAGATAATACCAACATGAATTCACTAGGGCTTATTGCAAATCATTTTGAAGATTCTAGTCATTTCCATTAATTGACTGAAGCTAAACATCCAAGCTAAGAAATGCCTGCCTTTATCATTTTTTTTTTTTTCCAGTCCTCATTTGTCAAACTGAAAACATGCTGTATTAGCATATTACTATACCAAGGAATTTCATGGACAACAGTAAAAAAAAAAAAAAAAAAAAAACTTTGGAAGCAAAACCAAGAGAATACTAAATTAATGTTCTATAGCCACGTAGTCAAATATTACATTTCAGAGTGAAAATGATTTTTAACACAAGAATCCAAACAAGGTCGCACAAGAAATAAAAATTCTTAAAAAAACTCCAGGAAAAAAATATTTACCTTTGTAAGCTAAATATTCAAGTGCTTTCTTCGAAAACAAACGAGTATAATAATGATAATGGGAGTAGAAGATGCAGTTGATGCCATAGAACAAACTAACAACAGACTTGTCTTACCATTGAAAAAATTCATGATACAATTCTGTATGTCCTGAAGATCTGATCTATTAGCCAATTTGGACAGCATCTTGGTTGCAGTATCATGGAGCTGTTTCCCTCTCATGTCCTCGCTCGCACAAAATATCCTTCTCACATATTCAAGTTCCCTGGAGAGGTTTTCAGTTGTCCAATCCTTGACAAAGTTCTGGAAAACTTCCTTCACAAAACCAAACATCTCAGACGGATGACCACAGGCAACACAATAGAACTGCATTTCCATCGAGCTCTGGGAACCCACTGCACTCTTCCCATTTCTGATATGCGATTCTTGCAACCCACAATCAGCATGGCACCAATGCAAGCAAACATCACATCCAACCCAACTACACGTGTTCGAAGCCATGTCGAACTTTGAACACACGAGACACATGCATTCGCGGCAAAAATCACTCATCCGAGAGCAAATCTTGCAGTCGCATTCATCCACAGGCAGAACACTCTTGCAGTTGAGGTTTCGGCATCTCATATTCAGAAATATCTCCGCCAGATCGGAAGTCGGGATGTCATTTTTCTGCAATAGAAATTCCCGGAGACCTGTTTTAAGCGCCACCAAGATCTCCAGTTGAGTGCTATGCGCATTCACTAGCATATCCAAGGTTACGTCTGACCTCTTCTGTAGAGCCTTCTGAAGAGCATTCAGCTGCCATTGCTTCGCAGGATTGCAAATTATGTCGAGAACAAATTCTTTGATACTTGCAATTTGTTTCCCACTCATATCACTAAACCTCCGACACATTATGGGTAAAGGTTCAGAAACTGTCATAAAAACTATTGATTCGGCAAAGTCGGATCCAATCATTATTGAGTGGTCTTTTTCATTTGATCCTTTCTGCCTTTGTAAGCTATCAGTATCTTTCTCAGTCATTAATTGCCTCCTCTCTGTGCAATGATTGAGTCCATTCTCATAAGATCCAAAACTCTGTGCTCCAGATAAATGTTTATTGAAACTTAATTGCCTTTCCAGAGCAACCGGCAGTTTGGAACTGCTCCCAGTGACTCTCGTAGTCTGCGCCAAAGCTTGTCCACCCGACTTGCCTTCAGTTGATTGGGACCGGTGAACAAAGACATTTTCTCTTGACGCCATTTCCTGATGAGCTGTAGCTTCTTCATTCTTATTCTCTTCTGCCAAAGCTTTCCAATCCACCCCTTGAAACAATGGTTTACTTTTGACGGACTGTTCAAAATCAGGTGCATTATGAGTCAGGGAACAGCTGGGATTATGAGTGAAATGCTGAGAACCAGAAAACGACATGGAAGCTGTAAATCCATCAGAATTTGTCCGAAACGAGCTAGCAAATGAGTTCATACTTCTCCCATGGCTTGGAGAACCTGGGGCCTGTCCTCTACTCTGAGCACCAATAGGTAATAAAACATTTGGCAAGCTAAGGGAAAGTTCGAGCGCCAACTTATCATCTTTAGGCTTGTTACTTGTTGTGTGCTGAACTTCCTCTGGCTTCTTAACTGGATCAGCAGAGAAAAACTGAAATCCCCTGGCACTCGGCCCTTCGATCTCAACATCCCCATTTTTTTCAAGGCCCCACACTTTATTTTCAGCTTCGGATTTAGTTTCTGCCAGAGGAAGACAGTCGGAGGGCAATAAAGCGACACCTTTGCCCTTATCCTTCAATATAGGGGACATTTTCTCATTAAATGGATGTTCACTTCCAGCTGTTATTTCCACATTTTCAGCAACGACAGTCTCACGCACTTCCATTTCAACATCAACACCTCTCTCTTCTTCTTGCTCTTGTAAAAGTAACTTGTCACCGCATGTGCTGTCTGCATCCTCCTCTAAAGAGCCTCCCATTCTAGCCTCAACTACATTGTTTTCACCTCCAGTGTCATCATTCATATCATTCTCATCTCCACATTCACCGCCCTTTTCAAATGACGTGGCCTGACAACCAACAAAATCATTATTTTTCCCCACATCATCCTCAACATCTTTAGTTATTTCACACTCTGCTTGTCCGTCCCAGCTTCCCCCATCTCTTGCATCCCCCTTATCGACAGACAAGAATCTCTCCCTTTCCTGCAGCACACTATCTTCAAGAGGCAATTCATCATCCGCCTTCTTTTGAGGCAAGCTCTCACAGACAGCAGCTCTATCCTCAGCAGCCGGCTCAGCCAATGCTGCATGCGGCTGAGGATCAGGCTCCAGCTCCCCTTCCTCCCGATCACTGCCGGGCCCACCACTCTCCACCGGCATATTATCACACTTCCTTCCCTCGACACTCTTTGACAGCTCACTTCCAGAATCCTTAGACCAAGCTGGGGATTTCACATCTGTAACTCCCTGGGGAGACCTCGACTTTCCAACTTCCTTAGACTCCATTCTACTCCCTCTGCTCGACTCAGTCCCACTCCTCGACCCATCATCACTCTCTTTGCCACCTCCAAATCTCCTCCATGACGTGGCAATACTGTCCCCCTTGGGCCTGTCCCTCTCTGACCTGAACCCCTTTGGGAAGTCTCTCCTTGGTCCGGAAAAGCTCTCAGACCTATACGTCTGGTCCATACAATATGTGGCCTTGGGCGAAGGGCTCAAAACCCCTCTGCCACTTCCGTCTCTAAACCGATCGTAATGCTTCCTACGCTCATAACTCTCTAAATCGTAGTCCGGCCGCTTTCTGGCCATTTTCAAGCTTTCCTTAACTTCTTCTGGTCGGTCGTACCTCAATGATGATGAAGACAAAACCTTCCTACCGCTTTCAGAGGATCTGTAGTAGGAGGAGCTCCTCTGCAGAGAGGAGGACGCACGCTGCAAGCCAGGCTCCTCCTTTCTTCCCCAATCTTTAACAGCATCTTTCTTCTCCTGGTACGAGTGGAGATCCTCGCTCGACTTCAGCCTCTTCATGACTTCCACATTCCAAAATCAATTCTTGCAGATATTGAACATGACCAGACCAAAAAAATAACGACAAATAGTCACCACAGTAAGTTCTTTCCTCCCCAATATACTCGGAAATTACCCCAGCCTAAAAGTTATGCTCTAACAAAACAAGAGACACATATAAATCAATAGATCGGCCAACCTACCCATTAAATTACGTTAACTAACTCGAGATCGAGATGTGGTCGAAGCTTCTCAAATACCATCACCAATCGCAAAAACAGAAAGAATATAGCACGAATCGACCAGCTCAAGCTTTCCCGGAGCCCTAGTCCGACTAAAACCCTCTAATTTTTCAAGTTTTACTACTTCACATCCAGATTCAAAGGAACCAGCTTAGGAACTCACCAAACACATGCGCTCGCCGGAGAGCTAACCGCCATGCGAGGAGATAGAAGAAGTGAGTATACGTGCAGGTGTTGGGGGGCGGTGGGGATGTGAGAATTGGATTGGCAGCAGAAATGGATTTCTTTGTGGTTGGGGAAGACGAAGAAAAGACTTTGATTGAATACGCAAAGTGAGTAGGTAAAAAAGGGACAATAAAATCAATGCGCTTCTCTCTCTCTCTGTCTCATCTCAAAGGTCAGAGATATTAGTCAACTTAGGTTTGAAAATAGTCCCCAAGGCCAATTTGGGGGTCATTCTATGTCTCCGGGTTGATTTTCTTTTTTTTTTTTACATAGGTTCCAGCCCACTTTCGATGTTGCAGTCATTCTTAGCCCTAATTTTCGGCCCTCACAGAGACTTCGGGAGTTAAATCCAGAACTCGAATCAATGATTTTCTGTTAGACCCTAATCCCTGGCCCCACAAAGACTTCCGGAGTTAAATCTGGAACTCGCATCAATGATTTTCTGTTAGACCCCTATCTGTACACTCTTGGGCCCCACCGATCCTACCGCCATCAGGAAGTGATTATCAGCAAGTCACCCTAAGGCCGCCACGAGGTTCGCCCCTCCTGGGTGTCGGACACGGCACACGGAGCTTGCAAGCGAAATTGAAGTCCTCCTTCCCACCACTGCGCTATGCCCCAGGGAGCAATCTTATTTATTTATTTATTTATATAGGTAGGTTCCATATTAGGTTCCTAGTTAGTACTGGGAAAATTGCGGTATGTGTCATTTAACTATTATTTACGAGTTTTTTCGTTTTTGAAAATTTGGGTGTACAACTGTACATGCTTTTTCAGCCATTTTTCTACCGTCTCGAAATTGAATTTTCACTATCAAAGTTTGTAATATACCTTACATGTCAGTCGTAATTAATCACGGATAGATCCATCTATGGTCAGCTTGAATCTTTTGTGTTAACTACATTTTTCATATAGTTAATATGTGTTAATTAAAATTTTATATTTAATATTCCTAAAATATAAATACCAAGTTTTTATTTTAAAATTATAAATAATACTTACAAAATAACATTATAATTTCTTTTTAAATTAATACACCTCAATTGTCGAATTCGCCGGTATTATATTACAATATTTTTAGTTCTTATACCATATAATAGGCTTGATAGGTAAATTTATTATTTTTTTAATTATAATCAATAAATTTTTTATGACAGTGTATAATAACATATCTAGTTTACTTCCTAAGTAAGAAAAAGCGTAGAAACAAAATATGAGAAACAATCCCAAAAAAATTAGAAGTTCACAGCAAATATGATATGATATGATTCTAAAAACTGTCAAGTCATAGACATAAGTTGGTCCTATATTCGATTTCTAAGTCATTTACAAATTTTAACATGAGAAAAAAAAACATCTGGATACTATAAAAGATTGAGCTTGCAAGAGTCGATTGCATTCCAAATTTTTAATTCATGTCAATCATAAATCGTAAAACGCAAGAGAATGATCGAATCTTGAATGTAGTGTCGGAGGCAATTGCAAGTTTACAACCTACACATGATGAGAAAATGATAGGATGACCACCAAATTCTTCAATCTAGCTCATTTAATTTGCATCTATTTTACATTAGACAATAATATGTTATTTTTTAAAATTCAACAATAGGAGCTCATTTTATTCATTTTATTTCGTTCGCACAATAGGACAGTAATTTTGCTTGTTATAAAATTAATCGGCCAAAAAATTTTACCACCTCATACATCGCGCATGCACTTTACTTATTTCTTGAAATGACCATGAGTGATTATGATCATGTTTAAGAAAATAGAACCTGACCGGCATGTTCAATCGAGAGACTAGCAAACACAAAACAAAATAAATAAAAGCTACATCACAAAATCAACAATACATAAACTGAACACATCCCTCTCTATAAACAAACTTTAGCCACAACAATCGTCCCGACAATGAAAACAGAACAACAGATGGAGGCTTCTCAAATTGAAAATTCCATCATAAAACTCCAAACGGCTAATCAAATATGACAAAGGGCAAGAGCCCGAGCCAAATCTATTCCAAAATTGACATAAAAGAAGAAGGGGGAGATCCAAAAAAACAAAGTTGATTGTTCCGGTCGGCCACCAAAGAGTGACTCCGACGCCGGCCCAACTGGAGGCCGGAAGAGGAGCGGCGGTGTACAGAAGTAGGAAAAGAGAAGGAGGGCAACACACTTGTTGTTGTGTGTATATATGTTTTGAAAGACGTGAAGAGCTAAAAGAAATGTATTATACAAAAACATAATCTAAAGAGCTAAAAGAGTTCAAAAACTTCAACATTCTGCTAAAACAAGTACTAACTAGATTATATTTAATCCACTCATCACAGAATTGAGTTTCAAAGTTTCAACTACACAACACTGCCTGCACTAAGAAATATTCGTCATTTGGACAATTCTTTTCCAATCACTCAAATTCACATAACAGTGAACCAATAAGGAAAGAGAAGAAGAAAAAAAAAAAAAAAATCAGTCATCATCACTGAATTCAGAATCATCACTGAATTCAACCGCATCAACATCTTCAGCATCATCACTCTCAGAATCATCACTAATAACATAGCTCGCCTTTGCCCTGTTCCCCCTCTGAGGCCTACCTTTCGGGGCCACCACCACATCTTCTTGCCTGGCCTCCATTGTACTGCCAATGCTAGAATTCTCGGGTGAGCTCTCCTGTACATCGTCATCGAGAATGATTGTTTTTCCAAGAATCGAGCTGCTTTTCTTGTTAAAAGGTGAAGACCTCATTTTCCTCACTTTCCTTTCAGGAGAATTCTCAACTGGCTTCAGAACCTCAGATATCAACTTCTGTCCTAAGCTCTTGTTGCTACCTGCTGTGGCTCCTCTTTTCTTGGTGCCGCCAAGTGGCGGTTTGGCCGCTTTTGAGTTGGCCGGTTTTCTGCCACCTCCTTTCTTTTTCTTCTCACCATCATCAATGACCTCAACATCAGCGATATCATCATCATCGGCTATTTCTGAAAGCGTTGACTGTGACTTCTTTTGTAAAGCAGTCTTGTTAGGTTGCTTGGTCTTTGCTGGCACCTGATGCTGATCAGTTTCCATATCTGTAAGGAAAATGAATTATCGTGTCTGGTGTTAGGTACACAAGGTTCATGATGTATACACGTGTATGCAATTGTTTAACCAATTTAGAGTCGACCACTGGTTGAAATTTATGTCGACTACTGATTTCAACTTCTAGTCCTCGTATTTCTCTATATGCAATTTGAGTTCACATGCCATATCACATGTTGCCTTTCTTAATTTATGGAGATGCAGATAATGAATCAACTAAACATATATATCATTGTGGCTCGACTTTGAATTGGCTCAATCAAGAGCTGATATCAAGAAAAGACAAGGACCAAACACGAGTTTCGAACCGAGAAATGGAAAAGTGGGAGTTCTTTGAATGCACACAAAAACTAGTTACAAGTTTATAAGAATGTGGCGATAAGAAACAATAGTTAACATGTCACTTTCGTTTAACCTCCAATTGGTCGGTTTTTTTACCATTAGATAAAAGTGAACTTTTCTTCATTTAACAAATCTACATATGGCTTTCACTTTACCTTCAGAACGATCAGGAGACGAATCAAAATTATAGGCAGCAATACGTTTCCTCAGATCACCTACATCATCATCATCATCTTCATCATCAACCTGCAACAATTCACGATGACAGGAAAAGTAAGAGAACATATTGGTTTTGAAAAAGACAATTCAGTCACCAAAGTTTGCAAAATGTAGATATATATATATAAGACGCTTTCAAACCTTTTCAGCTGGAATTTTCTTTTTGGCAGCAGCTTTCGCTCTTGGCTTCTTGACTTTTTCACCAACTTCATTAAAAGAAAGTATCACACGTACGTTACTTTCAGACTGCTTGTCAAAAAGAAAAAGAAACGGTAAACACACACTGAAGCTTACCTGTTTCCGTTGCAGTTTTATCAGCAACATCCATGGGCACTGTAGCTGCAGTTGAAGATTCTTTGTTGCTAGCCTTCTTATTATTTTTGCGTGGATTTTTTGGTAGTGGTTTCAACACATTCGTGTCCCCAAGTATCCTTTGTCTATTCTCCTCCCAATTTCTCTCACATTTTGTTAGCACCTGAACAAAAATTCTCACAATTTTAGCTAAAAAGATAATCAATTTACATGCCAAAAGTTCATCAAAAAAAAAAAAAAAAGAAAAGAAAAAAGAGGGAATATCTCACTTCAATATATTTGGACTGCAGAGCATCAAGATCTTTAAGCCACAAGGACTTCACGGTTGCTCTTCTCAGCTCTTCAACTTCTTGAGTGAGCTTGTCCCTCTCTGCGCGCAACTCTTGCAGCTTCTCTGCTGTTAATGTGCCAATTGCCAAAGACAGCAAATAATCATAATCACCTGCAGAAACTCCTGGGGCAATTGCCACATCACTGCTTTCTTCACCTTCTTCTGTATCATTGGCTGCGCCAGCAACTGAAATTTCAGCTACACCCTTATTTTTCGGAAAAGGTGTAAAACCTTTTTGCTTCAGCTCCAGGAACAAATCCGCTCTTTTTTTGTTGCTCACAATGATGCTACCGTCAACAACACACCGAATAAATCTATATTTGTTATCACATTTCAGCATATCTAACTCAAGGTTGGCTAGCAAAGTTTTCTGCAAGACAAATTGATTGATCAGCGATGCCGAAAATGTGTACATATGTATTTATGCAATGTTTAATGTCAGATACAAAACTTGCCTTTCGCTTCTCGTAGAACTCAAGCCGTATGTAAAAGAATTCCTCAAGAACTGCAGAGGAAAACACTGAATTAGCATATGCATGTTGCTAAAAGAAATAAACCAAGGTTTTCAAGGTTTTCGTGACGTACTCTGTTCAGGGGTATCATATTTCTTGATAACACCTTTAGCATCAAATAAATGCATGTTGCTTGTGCTTATAGAAGTAGTCAACTTGAATTTTTTCAGCAAGCCTTCTTGCTTAGCAGCCAAAAGATTGTTAGTCGACATATGGACAGAGAAATGCACAATCTCCCCACCACTGTTATCACGACAGTCCTGAAAAATAAATGGATTCACTATTAGTTAGATACCCATATACCAGCCTTGGACAAGAATTTAAAATGAACAGTAAACGACCTCAATGAACGGATCCTTGCTCTTATCATTCTGAGCAGAAACGGACTCCAAGAATTCTTTATAATCTTGATTCCACTTCCGAATTGGAAGTTCTGTTATTCTTAAAGTTGTTTCATCAACTTCCTCTATGATTCCACTAACAGTGTAGCCACTACCAGCTTCCCTTGTTGAACTTCTTTCGACTGTACCTATGAATCCCTTATACCAAGGGTGCATAGGTTCCATAGGTTCATCATTCAACAAATGCCTCACATTGGCAATGATATCTAGAGGGTTGTAATTAGGTATGAAGGTGCTCCATCCTGTCCCGATTCCTTCACTTCCATTTATAAGAACCATCGGTATTATTGGCACATACCTAATACATACCACGTGACATCAGCAAAAGCAATTCCAACTAAACCACCTTATGTATGACAAATAACTCAAGAGGAACTCACCAAGTAGGTTCAATTGATTGCCCGTCTTCATTTAAATAGTTAAGGAGGATGTCATCTGCCTTTGGAAACAAGAACCTGGTAACGGGAGACAGCTGCGTAAAAATATACCTGGCACTCGCATGATCTTTGCCACCCTGAGTAAAAAAAGTTCATACATCATAAGGTAACTAGCCAAGTGATGATAGTAGTATTAGACCCACCAACACAAACAGGTAAAATGAGGGGTATTGCCAGATTTGTGACAAAAATAAAAGATTCAGTTGTCACCTGACCACGTGTACCAAATTGACCATTTGGTAAAAGAAGATTTATATTGTTGCTCCCCACATAGTCTTGCGCCATACCAATAATGGTACTAGCAAGACTTTGCTCTCCATGATGGTAAGCCGAATGTTCAGACACATAACCTGAGAATTGAGCAACTTTTGCTTCTTTAATGAAGTTCCTCTTGAAGGAACAGAAAAGTATCTTTCTCTGGCCAGGTTTCAATCCATCAACCATTGATGGAATCGATCTCTGAAGATCAGCCATAGAATACAGTATAAGTTCCTTATGGACAAAGTCACGATACTTTACGTGTTCATCTTGATCATCAAGGTAAGTGCCAGGCTGACAGACAGAAAACAGATAGTCTAGTAAGTAAGTCATTAATCCAATTCCAGCCATAGCAATAGAAATGAATAACTTGTTACAGAAAGTTAATACTGTTCATCCAGCTATCAACCTCAAATTGTCGGAGCCAATTCTTCCTAGCTTCGATCTTCTTCTTACTGAAGGCAAGTTCTATCGAATCCCCATCTTGTTCATCTACCCAAACAAAATCCTTCTTATGCTTTCCAAGATCTTGGAAGTATTCCTTGGCTTCCTGATCTGTGCTTGTTCCCAACCCCTAAAAGACCAGGAGAAAGACAACAAAGTATCTATTATTAGCCAAAGCAGGTCATGTAACTAATTCCGTTGTTGAAATTCCAGAAGGAAAACATCGTCAATATTACATATTACAAGCTGACAAACCTTATAGTACTTAATAGTCCAATTCTTTGCATCTGCTCCCTGGTTTTGTTTCCAAGCTTCATACTGGGGCATTGTATAGAAGGCTTCTTTTCTTCTCCCATCTCTATGTGTAGCCTACAAGGAATATAAGAAATAGAGAGATTACTATTTATGCAAAAGGAACCATCAAGCTAACGATAGTATGTCAAGTCTTGCAAACCTTTACAATAGGAGTTATGAACTCCAACAGAAATGTGGGAACTTTGAGTAATGATGGCCAGAATGAATGGATGAAATTAATCAATAGACCCTTGATATGGGAACCATCATGATCCTGCAGTTTTAAGTTCATTTTAGAAATGGATCAAAGAAATAGCAGTTTATCACCGGTCAATCCTCAGTCCATGAAAATGGTGGAAGGAAATATACATATCTTGAAGTACGGCAAAGGAACAGCAAGTCACCTGATCTGTCATAATCATCAAATGCCCATATCTCAGTGACTTGATGCTGTCATACTTTTTCTCTTGCTGGAGTCCTAAAATCTGCTTGATATTCTGGATTTCAGCGTTTTGCAATATCTGATTATGACTTGCTTCCCTCACATTGAGCAACTTTCCTCTCAAAGGGAACACACCATAGTAATCTCGCCCAACAACTGAAAGTCCAGCAATCTGGACAAGGATCAAGTCATAAATTATCCAATCTTACAAACAGTTTCTAGGACAAGTATTGAGCTTAAAAACTTACTGCAAGTGCTTTCGCCGAGTCTCCTTCTGTCAAAATCAAGGTGCACTTCTCAGAGTTCCTCCCTCCAGCCTCATTAGCATCAGCTAACTTGGCTAGTCCATATATCCTCCTGTCTTTTGATCCATCTGTTTTCTTAAGTTCTTTCTTCTGCTTGAATTCTGCCCATTCCTCAATATTTTTCATTATATCTGACTTGGCCACTGCAATAGATAATTTATACAGTTAAAGACTTCTATTAGAAAAATGCAGTGAAATCGACCTTTCAGATAATTAATGGCCGGGGTATAGGGAGTTGGCACCACAAACCTTTGTCTAAGAACTTTGATGAGAAATCCCAAGAAGACCCGAAACTTGATGCACGCAGCGTGAGAGTCTCTTTGGTTTGAGAATCAAAGGCAGGGTTGTCAATAAGAGAATTAACAAACACCCACAAATGGTTCTTCACAGTATGAGGCTTGATGTCAAATTTCTTGTTCTTCTTGTTCTTATTCTTTAGGGCCGTGACAAGGTGACTTGTTATCTTGTTAGTAACATAATCAACATGAGTCCCTCCCTTGATTGTTGCAATCCCATTTACAAAGCTGACCTGTTCAAGTGATCATCTGATAGATTAGTCTCACATAAACCAGCTTCCCTCACATTGAGCAACTTTCCTCTCAAAAGGAACAAAAGGGTATTGTCATTCAACCATTCCTACCTGTTGAAATTGCCCTTCACTTCGACTTATATAAATCTGCCACCTATCGTGTACTTCCTCTTCAAACCTGTCAATAGATGAATACATAGGCATCCCAGTTAATTATGTTAAACAGCTAAAGATGGGAAAAGAAATCCATACAGAACGAGGCAACTACCTTGGGAGTGGCTCTAAACTGGAAGAGGATGATGACTTCAGATAAAGCTCACAATAACTGGAAAATGACTTGAAATGAAATAGCTGTCCATTCAATTCCACCTTCACAGACTTCCCGAGGCATCCAGCAACATCGATTACACGCTTCTTCATGAGAGCAACAACATCCTCCTCTAAATAACTCATGCCAAATTTTGCCAAATCAGGCTTGAATGTAATCCTTGTCCAATTCTCGCCCGCTTTGCATTTTGTTATAGCAGGCTCAGATTTCTTTCCCATGTTGCTGGAGAAAATCTTCACAACAACAAAACATGTTAGAATAATTAGCTGGCCAAATTCCAGAACTTGTAATATAGAATTAGCAGCATATCTGTAGACAGAAGTTAAAACAAGGGTGTATGATTACATGCTATGAGAATTCAGGTGTCTTAACAAGGAATAGAAATATGAGACTGTTAATAACTCGCTAGATAAATGTTAACTAGAGAGATCCTTTTCTAGGGTACTTGGACATGAAATTCCAAAAACAAGATATGCAAATCAAGCAAGTGAATGAATGTCGATAATTCCAGGCCAATAATTCAAAATATTGTCATATAAAAGTAACATCATTCCCAATCAAATAATTTATGAACAATAAATCCAAAAAAATAGTCGGACTCGAAATCATCAAAAACCCTAAATTTAAACACAGCAGAAAAGGCCAGGCACAGTAATTGAAAGCCAAACAAAAATATATTGATTGAATAAACGAACCCTAGGAGTCAATACCTGTTTGTACTTCTTCTGCCTCTTCCCATCTGCAGTCTCAATCACAAACTCAGTCGAGAATATGTTTGTGAGTTTCGCCCCATACCCGTTCCTCCCACCAGTCGTCTTTTTCTCGTTGTCATCATAATTGCTGCTCGTCAACAGATGCCCAAAAATCAATTCCGGCACATATACGCCCTCCTCCTGATGGATCTCGACGGGGACACCATCGCCGTTGTTGTACACGCTGATGCAGTTTGACTCGACATCAATGGTGACCTTCACGGAGTCCATTTTAGGATCTCTCTGCTTGTTGTCGGCAGCATTGACGAGAATTTCATCGAAGATCTTGTAGAGGCCAGGGACGAACGTGATGGATTTCTGGACCATTTGTTCGCCCTCGTACACCCACAGGTTTTGGGTGTGTTTCTCAACGGAGCCGATGTAGGTGTCAGGGCGGAGAAGGATGTGCTCGAGCTGGGTCTTCTTCTGGTAGGTTTGTTCGATGGTTTTCTTGCCGCCGCCGGTGGGGGCTGCTGCTTCAGGCGGTGGGATGTTGGCATTGTTGCTAGTAGTTAAGGGGGCCTTTTTTGCTCCGGCCATGGCGAACTAGGGTTTGAGAGTCGGAAAATGTGAAAGTGAGGAGAGATGAGAGACACGGAGAAAGTGTCTGTGCGAAGTGAAGATGGGGTGAGGGAGAGCTTTGGGATATAACGATGGCGGATTAACGTCACTTTTGAAATTTGAATTTTGAATTTCGAAAGTTCAATATTATTCTTTTAAACGTCTTTTTGGTTTTTATTTTTCATTCAAGACCTTCGGTTGACCAGAGTTTTTATTCTGCCCCCTTCACTTATCACAAATAGAAAATGTAGCACTAATAGTAATACATACACCTATTCAAGTCCAGAAATGAAACGTAAGAATCCGATGGAAATAAGATAGGGAATATAGTAAAACCAATGAAAAATTTCCCAACTCTGGTAACTTTTGTTTCATGAATCATGATGCCAATTTGTAAATATTCTCTTTTACAAAATTGATGAGATGACTACGAATTTTGTCACGTGTAAATATTATAATGTTCTCTACGACGAAAAAATTTATCATAAGGTTATATATCCATCACGAATTTACTTAAATAAGATGGAATACTATTAGAGAGCGATTTCACTACAAATTAAAATCAATTTTAAACCGATTGAACAATAATTTTATACTCTTTAACTAAAAATTCAACTCAAATTTAATTCAATCAAACTTTTCCCGAAATTATTAATATAAATAAATAATATCAATCAAATATCTCTCACACATCTTATCAATTTTAATTCACTATTGATTTCCTCACCTATATTTAACATGTGCTTTCAGTTGAGAATAAAGGGTTGAGTTCACATGAGAATGATGTCTACTGAAAATAATGAGAATAAATCGTAGTCAATATATCGGATGATCTAATGGCTAAAAAAAATCCAAAATTATAACTCATTAAGAGTAATGTAGTATTTTAACACAACCAAACAGTGGGCTACCACCTCACCTCTCTCTCTAGTTCTCTCACTCTCTCACATACACACACAAGCCACAGCACCCACCAACACACACAAAACACACGCCACACACATACAACACACGCACACGCACGCGCACACACGCCACACACACATCAGACAAAAAACACACACGCACATAATTACAAAACACATACACATAAACATTGAATACACAACACACAACCAGCTGTCGGCCTCAGCCACAGCCACCACCTATCGCCTCCGCCGTCGTCGATCACTCGTTGACCGTCAAACTCTGCCTTCGTTATCGACAAACCATTCCTCTCCCACTTGACTGGCCATCTCGCAATGATCGCCACAACCATCAACTCCGCCCTCGCCTCCGTCGTCGCAGACCACCCGCTAACCGTCGGCCTCCACCACAGCCATCGCCTCCACCTCAGTTTCCGCCATCGTCGACCATTTCTATCCCGACGGTCTGCCATCTCGCGATGAACGACCGACCATTTCTATGTCGTCGATCTCGCCGGTGCACATCCTTGCCGCCCCAGATTTTCGCCGGAGCATGTCGCCTTAGTCGGATTCGCTGATATGGCCGCCAACGCCATGGATAGGCGGACGTCGGTGAGTGAGCTACTTGTGATTTTCATTTTTTATTTTTAGACTTAATTCCCATGGAGGTGGAGGTGGATGTGTGTGTGTGTGTGTGCGTGCGACGTCCGACGGCCATTGACGGAGTGCGGCGGGTGGCAGACGAC